ACCTTTTAGAAATGAAACAAAATCGATGCATAGCATAATGAGGATTTAAATTAAAATATTAAATCAATGAGTAAAATCCCGAGAGAGTAATTTGCCTGGGAGCCTTTGAATTTTTTCTATATTAGTCACATGACCATGGGCGTGGCCTGATGACGTCATCACTAGTGTTACTGATCATGAAAAATTTGAAACACATGAAATAACTCTGAACTAGCTAAAAATGATGAGGTTATATGAGACTACATTTTCCTTAGCAACGGCTCGAAAAGATCGGTTAATGGGCCCTTAAGGGCTTGACTAAACACTTGACGAAAGCATGCAAGGAGCCAGAATTATAGCAGAATGATACAATAATGATTTTCCATTATATTCTTTTCTATTTCGTACATTCTGATGCATTCCGCTCACTCCAGCTCGTTCCTGTCCATTTGGTATCATTGCAGTATCATTCTGGCTTGTTCCTGCTTCAGTTCCCATCCAGTTGGATTTGTTCCAGTGTTTAATAGTGACCCATGTTGAACCACTGGACTCCAGATCAAGTGGTCAGGGCTCATGCCCTGGCCAAGATCATTGTGTTGTGTTCTTGGGAAAGACACTCCCAGTGCCTTTCTCTACCCAGGTATTTAAATGGGTATCGGCAGATCGAATGCTACAGAATAACCCAATGATGGCCTAGCATCCTATCCCAGGGAGTAGGAATATTCATAGTTGCTAAAGGCTACAGAAACTGGGATAAACTCCAGCTGTATGACCAATGGCCTAACACAGACTTTTATGCCTTGCAAACCTTACGATCTACATCACGCTCATCACTTGTTGTCAAATGGTTAAAACAGACAGTTATGGTGCAACAACCTTTTCTTTACCCATACTGAAATTATTCTTTCGCCGCACCAAAACTCTATTCTAGGAGACATTAAGAAAGCTTATACTGGGGAAAGTTTCAAAACTAAACTGAAGACCTCTTTTTTTCAGAAAGTTTTAACTTAATTAATTAGTCTGTTATTTTTCTTAAGTAATTGTTTAGTTATTTTAGTTGGTTAGTTTTTTGGTCTATTTATTTTAGTTAGTTATTTATTGTTAGACTATTATTATTATTATTATTATTATTATTATTATTATT